TGTATGCCCATAAACAAATGCCAGTACAGGTAAGTATTCTCTGTGACTGGGACACACGTGCCAGTCCAACTAGTTTAACTCCTTCGCAGCAACGACGCGACGCCCCAGCCACAACACAAAGTGTCAAACGGTGAATGAATGAAGTGGTGGCAGCGCTTGAAGAGCGACCTGCTGCTGCTGGCCGTAACGTGGTGACGCGCAGCGCAAAGCAGCTTGATTAACTCCAATCGAATCGGCGGCGGTTCATTGGCCACCCTCACCACCAGTTTGCTGCTAATCTATTTACGTTTGCTGCTGATAAAAACAAGAATGGTTACATTTGTTTTGATTTAAAATTCTGGTTAATGGTTAAGCAAAACGAGAAATTCAGCAGCGGCAAAACATGTTTCCTTTGTTTTTATTAGTTTTTCTTTTTTTTTGGCTTTCAGCAGGACAAGAGAGCGCATGAGCAGGAGCTCATTTGTGAGTGAACAAGCGTGCGAAAACTGGTACCGGCACAGCAATCCTTGACCCAATGTGGTGGTGGCCGGTCGTGATGGTGACGTCTTTAACGCTGATGCAGTCGCTGTTTGACCGCTTCTTGGGCATGGGCATGGGTTAGCCGCCTAAGGTGAGCCTGTTTGCGGACTGGCCAGAGTGGGAATGCTGCTGATGTGCTTTTGTGTGTGTGTGTGTGTGTGTGTGCGGGTAGTTCAAATACAAATTCAAGCAGGCAGTGGATAAGTTCAGTGCCAATAGCAGCGGCAACAAGTAGAGGCAATCAAAAGGTGAGCTGGTTACCGGTTGTTGGTGTGTCTGATGGCTATTGTTGGCTGGTCGGTCTGGCTGATTGCACTTTTGCTGGGTGTATGTATGTGTGTGTTTATGGCAGGAAACTTGTTTCCACAAAACGTTCTTGTATATTCCTGCTTTTGTGTACAAACACACTGTTACATACGTACATATGTACATACTCTAATACTTAAATGGGTGAGGTCAGTTTCGAATTGGAACTGATTATGCTATAGGGGGCGTTTTATGCACATTACCCGGCACCAATCAGCAAAGTAAGCAATCTTTAGTACAAGTATTGATTACCACTCGCATTCAACAGCTTTTGGCAAGTGTTTCAATAGGGGCTAACGACTTGGATATTGCTGATTTGTTTTTTTGTTTTTTAGTTCTTGACTGCTGTGAGCAACTAAAAATTAGGGCATGTGGTTTGAGAAAAAAGTTGTTTGCATACACTTTTCTTAATAAGTTATGCTCTCTTTTAAATACCGCTGTCATCGCCTGATTGTTATATAGACTGAAGTGTGAAGTCAATTAAATGTGAATTTGTGTGATTTGCTATTCTTTGATCTGTTTGTGGGAAAGAAAAAATTATGAATAAATTTGATAGAGAAAACGTACCTTTCTCTTCTATCAAGCAAAATAGATGTACTTGAATATGATCTTGATGTTGTTGTCTTCAGCACCGCTTCAACTGGCAAAATCTGTCGACTATTCTGCTCTGTCAGCGTCTTCAGCATGCAAATGAAGTTGGAGTGCACTGAACCGAACACTTCATACTTCATGTGTTTGATTTGTTTAAAATTTTTAGGGTTGATGCATAAACATAAATTATAAATAAATATGAAATTTGAGCTTGATTAATACATTTTTAAAAACTTTACGGCACAAAAACAAAAACAAATCGATTTAATAGTTTTTGAAAATATGTAATTTTTTTTTAATTTTTGTTCAGAATTTCTAGAAAATTACAGTAGATTTTTTTTTGTGGAGGGTGTCGCGCATTTTCTTCCATATAAAAATTGATTTTGTTCACGCTTTATAAGGGAATAAAACGACCAACGCCCTAAAAAAAAAATTCGAAAAATTTACTGTAACTTTTGGTGACTTGAAACTTGCACTAAAATTGAATGGGCTACAAAACTGCACACTCGAAAATTTTCTAGAAATTCTAAATAAAAATTTTGAAATTTTGTTGAAAATTGTTGGAATTTTTGTGAACTTTATATAAAGTGTGAAACTTTTATTTATATGGTTTATGTTATAAAATGAACTATATATACATAAATAACATTATGCGACAGTCAAAATAGGGATGGGATGAAACCAACGGGAAATGTTATATCGGTCAAAAACAAGTTATACGTGTCCCGGCGTTTCGCTGGGTCACGTCTAGGAATCGAGATATATATATAACTATCATATAGGGGAAATTGTCACCTTTGGTAGTCTTTTTTTTGACATAACTCGAGAACCACTAGTCCGATTTTGCTCAAACAAATTAAAAAAAATTAAAAATTACAATTCCTTTAATCTGTTCATATAACCTTTTTCTATATAATCAACAGTTTTGCCGGTAAAAATAAATGTATAAAATATTAAATTTTTTTAAACTCGTTAATATATCGAATATTTGTTATATTTAAATTGTTATCAATTTATTTCCCATATTCATCATTTTATTTATGTGTATCGCTAAGTTTAACGAGTAAGGTTTAGAAGAGCTGATCGAAACTTATGGAAAAGGATAACAATGTATGTACGTACTTGGCATGTTCATCGTTCCGTTTATGTGTATGTATCTATAAATTTATTGTACTAGGTATAGATGAGCCTATTGCTATTTTTATCAAAAAATTTATCAATGTGCTTGCCATATTTATCGATGTATTTATATTTATCGATACATTTGTGGTGTTGGGTATACATGTTGGTGAGCTTACTGTAATTTGTATCGAAATAGGTATCGCTTTACTTATCGAATTCGTCGTTTTCTATATACTACCCAGACCACAATCAGTTCGTACGCCTGAACACTTTTTAATATTCTTTGATAAATAAAAGTTGTTGGTACACAGAGAAATGAACGTTTTTACTTTTTAGGTTTTAGGTTTAGTTTTGGCACCTACAATATTTATTTTAGTTTTGAGAACAAGCATCTTCATTCATATTCTAAAATTTAAATTTTAGTTTTTAATATGAACATTTTCAACTCGCTTTTTAAAACGATCGTTTGATAATTCAGATGAGAATCTAAAATGTTTATTTTATGTTAAATAAAACACAAAGTCATTTATATTTAAAAATATACATTGTCATACATTTATTGATATATGAAGATATATTAAGACATATACATAAATCAGTTATACAACTTAATAACGAAAATACACATATGAACACACACATGTCCGTGGTTTTCAGGGGCCCTGCTAATTTTAATTAACGCTAGTTAGATCCTGTAATATATATAGAAAAATATACAATTATTATTAAATAATGGATTACAATTTATTTTTGTAAGCAAGTCTTACCAGAGAGTTTCTCTAATCAAAAAAGTGCAAAGGTATTAGTAAGCATTAAGTGGTGTGACACTCCTACCCTGTCGGAAAGACCAACAACGAAAATGAGAATGGTGTGATAATATTATATTTCAGCGCCCTTTTGCTAAAGAAGTGAATGCTATACATGCATATCGATAGTCCTCTGCAATAACGGCACAGCTCAAAATTTCATGTTTTTCAGTTATATAGCGGATTAGGTTTATAAATAACAATTTTTTTCTGTGGCAAATCGACATAGACATAGCTGTTACCAATTCGGCAGAAGCGTAGTTTTGTCATTTGTCTCAAAACCGAAGTATTCAACGCTTGCTACTGAACAGTGGCACATGTCGCACATTTATCGCGAATATTGGTCAAAAACGTTCGATAGGCTAGTCATGCTTTTATGTGAATAACGTTGTTTATTACATAGTTTCAGTAAGACACTTAGTATTTTTTATGGGAAACAACGACAATGTTGGCTTTGTGCCGTTGTTCAGCAATACAAATGGATTTTTTTTTTTTCGTTTAACTACTTACGAGCTGTATTTTGCGTATTTTTGCAGCCAAACACTTACTAAATCTTTAGAAAAAGTCTTAATTTGAAAGCTTACAAAATTTCCCTATAGAATGAGTGCAAATCATCCGGAATAATTACATTCGAAGACATATTATTGTTAAATTACGAAACACAAAATCTTGAATAGAATTGAGTTGTGTCGTTATTGCAGATGACCATCGATATGTAGATTGAATTATCTCACAAAATTTTGCCGACAAATAATGCAAACAGATGAAAACAAATAATGCAAACAGATGAAAAGTTTTTCAGTTTCATAAGTAGCTTTGAAAATTCTAATACTAAACGTTCATGTTTAATTGACTGAAACGTAAGTTTTGTTCTTATTTTAAAGTGTTTCCTTTTAGTTTACTAGTTGAAAATTTTAGTTTTGAAAGT